AACACACACACTCTCTCTCTCCCATGGCGTTGAACAACGGCGTCCCCGCCACCGGCACCGGCCTGATCGCGAGCTTCGGCGAGATGCTGATCGACTTCGTCCCCACCGTCTCCGGCGTGTCGCTGGCGGAGGCGCCGGGGTTCCTGAAGGCCCCAGGCGGCGCCCCGGCCAACGTGGCGATCGCGGTGGCGCGGCTGGGCGGCAAGGCGGCCTTCGTGGGGAAGCTGGGCGACGACGAGTTCGGGCACATGCTGGCCGGAATCCTGAAGGAGAACGGCGTGAGAGGCGACGGCATCACCTTCGACGAGGGGGCGCGCACCGCCCTGGCCTTCGTGACCCTGCGCGCCGACGGAGAGCGGGAGTTCATGTTCTACCGGAACCCTAGCGCCGACATGCTCCTCCGCCCCGAAGAGCTCAACCTCGAACTCATCAGATCTGTAATGCTTCTCAACTCTCTCTCTCTCTCAATTTTCTTTCGCTTTTCTTTTCTTCCGAAAACCAACTCTTTCTTTCCTTCCTTCCTTCGCGTGGCGTCACGCGCGCGTCCAGTGAAAGATGATGCCACGTCAGATTCAGGTTGCTGGGGTGGGGCCCATCACTAGATCTAGGATTCACGAACCCCCAGCACTAGCAATAGATTTTTATTTTTATTGAAGTTATCGAAATTATAATGAAGGTGGGTGGGTGGATTATTGCACGGCGTGCTTCACGTGCCGCTTCGTTCAATACTTGGATCTGTTTCCTTTCAATCCAACAAGCTCTTGGGCTTTTTTATTTTTTTTATAACTCTTCGTGTTCTCCACGCGCTGGGACGAGTCTGGGATTTCGGAGGATCGCGTATTTGTTTCGTCTTGTTATCTGTTTGACTGTCACTCGTTCGTTTTTTTGTGTTTCTTTGGTAACCATGCGCTATGTCATCCGTGTTGTCTTTGACCAACGCTCCAACGTGAGTCTAGCCTTTATTCTATTTTCTTTATGGAATTGGTGCTATGAATTTTATGCTTTACGGATTTCTTTCCATATAGTTGTTGAAAAATTACTTGTTTTTCACTTAATTCTTTCATCTGCTTGTTTTCATGTTTTACTTCTTGTTTTTTTGCGGTGATGTCATAAAGTTTTTTTTTTTTTTTTTCCAGCTTTACAATTCCTAGTTCCTAGAAATCTTCTCCAATATTAGCAACACCAACCAAAGTTTAACTTTTTTTTTTTTTTTTTTTTTAAAAGAGTACATAGTTTTAAAAACTGGACCGGTCATCGAACCGGTTAAGGTATTGGGTTAGTGAGTCAAAGGTTGAACCGGTGGGTTTCTGGTTGAACCGCATGACTCGATTTTTATTTATTTTTATTAAAAAATATTATATTAAATATATTTATACTTATAAATTTTAATAAATTCATATCTTATTTTAAATTTAAATTTTTCTATCTATTTAAAATTATTTTTATTTTGTAAAAAAAATTACATGTTAAACGGTATATTAATACAAATTAAAAATATAAATAATATGTACATATATAATATGCTTGCAATTAATATCACAAAATAATATATGTAATATTTACATAGATATTGCATTATTAAATATATAATTTAAAATTAATAATATACTATAAAAGTTATTTAAGTTGTATATATTGCACACAAATATATTAGAACAAGTAGTCAGTCTTATATTTAATAAGACTCCTTACTTTTTCATTAAGAGATTCAATTTTCATTATTATTTTTGTGATTTATGGTCCCTTAAAAAAATTATAAAAAAAAAGAAGTGGTTGAACCGGTTTGACCCACCGGTTCACCGGTTGAACCGGAAAATTGACCGTTTCAATCCGGTTTGAAACGGGTCGACTGCATAACCGATCCAACTTCAGATTCAGACCGACTGGACCACCGGTTCCCGGTCCAACCGGTCCGACCGGCCAGGTCGGTCCGGGTTTTAAAACACTAAGTAAAAGTGAGTACAACAAAAATTTAACTTTAAAAAAATGAGTACAACTTAAATCCCGAGGTGTCGGTGGTAATTAACTAATTTAATTAATTATCCTTAGCTGATGATGAATGAAGGGCTGTGACTGTGGGCCATAATTTACAGCTAGGAAGCACCTGTATAATAAAAATTAAAATAAAGTACATGGTTTTGGCAGCCAGTTTCATGCATTTTACAATGAAATGAATTTATCTATTAATGAAAATTATTGATCATTGTTAAAGTGATTTAGTGTACCCTTAGCAGTTTGAGGTAGGTGGCTAATTGAAAGTCGACTTGATTCCAGGCAAAAGTTTTCCATTACGGATCAATAAGCTTGATCGTGGAGCCATGCAGATCGGCACACCTTAAGGCCATGGAAGTTGCGAAAGAAGCTGGGTGCCTGCTTTCGTATGATCCAAACCTTCGGCTACCATTGTGGCCTTCAGCCGAGGAAGCTCGTAAGCAAATACTGAGCATATGGGAGAAGGCTGACCTGATAAAGGTCAGTGATGTGGAGCTTGAGTTCCTCACTGGAAGTGACAAGATTGATGATGATTCTGCTTTGTCATTGTGGCACCCCAACTTGAAGTTACTCCTTGTCACTCTAGGGGAACACGGTTCCAGATACTACACCAAGGTACACTTCAATTACCTTTTACTTTTTTACCATTTTGTTCAAAGTTAGCTGCTTAAGTATGGTAGATCCGTAGATGTTTGTTTGGTTAGCTATGATGTGTCCTCGTCATTCTGAATGCCTGTAATTGATACGCTTGTAATTAAGTTGCTTTCGGGCTGGGCCACCACGTGTGTTTCTGCTTCTGTTTCCCTCTTTTTAATCAAATTAAATTGAACTGCTTTGCTCTTTATTCTCACCTGTTACGTCAATTTCGTACATTGGATTCAGAGTGAGCTGGAAACTCCAGCTCACTCTTGGAAAGGTTAAACTTTGAATATCCTGTAATGTCAGAGGGGGTTGAAGAGGGCAGAACGGTTTGTCGTTTTCATAAAGCAATCTATCAGCCTAGCCTAGTGGTGGAGTTTGCTATTCTTTTGCCGCGTGTATGAATATCATCTCATCTGCATAAATTAACCTGCAATAGGCTATAAGCTGTGGCATACGAACTAAAATTCTCTTTTTTGCGTTCATTTTTAATTTTTTTAATAATGCGTCTTGAAATATCATGTATTATACTATTATTGCCTTCAAATTGAAGAATTTGTTCCGGAAGGTATCAAAATGCACGTATTACTGGGTCACTATATAATTGTGCCCGTTTTTGGATACTTTTTTATTTGAATCATTAATGAGATTGTCTCAATTTTTGCATAAACCAGAATTTCCATGGATCGGTAGATGCCTTCCACGTTAATACAGTTGATACAACTGGTGCCGGTGATTCCTTTGTTGGCGCTCTATTGTCCAAGATTGTCGATGATCAGGCCATACTTGAGGTGAGTGCTTAGCTACCACACCGTAATGAACAGATTTTTTTAGTAATTTTTTTGGTTGTCTTGATAAAATTTCAAATGGTTGATTTATTAAGCTTACTGATTACAGGATGAACCAAGGTTAAGAGAAGTACTTAAGTTTGCAAATGCATGTGGAGCAATCACAACCACTAAAAAGGGAGCAATTCCCGCCCTTCCCAAAGAGGAGGACGCGCTGAAACTGATCAAAGGGGCATAGAATCTTTTGACAAAAGTATTAGCATGATTTCGTTTTCTGGATTTTCTTGCTATCATTTTACGAGGGAACGCTTCTTGATTTTCTTTGTATTTTTGTTTTTCCTCTTATGCACTAACGGCACGATCACGTTTGCTGGATTTGCCAAATAACGTTTTCCTTCAAATTTTGAATGAAAATTTGATTCATAAGCTCGGTCCATAGCTACAACTTAAACCACTTCATATTTTTTTTATCAATGAAATTGTCGTCTGTCCAACCTTTAATAAAAGAAGAAAATTTAGGAGCGAAAGGCCAACCAGACTCTACCCAGTCCAAAAACATTAGTAACTGTAACGCGGACAAGAATAGATCAATGGGTCGTGTTCACCACTTGGAATTAAATTTGTAACTGCCATTTCTATTTACCAAAACACCTAGAAATGGATTTTATCTACATAAAACTGGATGTGATGTGTGATAGTTTCCCAGATATAAAGTAGTTCCTAGTGATAAAGTCGTGTTAAAGTGTGCCGCATATCCGTGTGCGCGAGATCAATTTATTTCTTAGAGAGTACAGACTTTGGTAATAAATCTCAATGCGTTTTGAATCCTTTTTGTTCGAAACTCCATATAAAAATCCATGTGATAAGATGCAATGTATTATGATCTATTAAACCAAAGAACGCATTTTCTGATAAGTGTTTCCTTTAATTTAATTTAATTTAATCTAAATACATTCTTCTCTCACATATACTTCATGTACTTTGTGAGATTCAAATCTATTTTGACAGGCTGAGCGTAAAAGAGGTGACATCTATAACACGATAGCTTGAGGATGACATTCACTAACCTCCATCTTTAACGACTTCCAAGCATATGCACATTTTTCCCACTTTGCCTGCATGTGAGCCAGAAAAGCCTCTGCCCATTGTTCGTTACTCCCTCTCATGCTTAGATCATAAGGCACTGAAAAACTGTAAAAAAAAGTCCTTAGAATATCAGTAATCTGCGGATCAACTTCACAACATTCGTATGACTTCAAATTTCACCCATTGTATGGGTAATTTCATTGACAATATATAACATGGCGACCGTGAAGAAAGTGACGATCAAGACTGCCCCAAAATAAAACAAAATATTATTGCTGTAAAGAAGCTAATCACCTAATCGTGCAGTTGAGTGGTGACTTAACATCACCACCACCAAACGTAGCCACAGTTTGGCAGCTGCATGCTTAAAAAACTAATACTTTTTTGTATAACACTAACATTCTTCTGTTACTGTGACAAGGACTTTGCCTGATATTGGGTAATGCAAGACAATTATCAGCCCAAAGTGTGAACCTAATTCTGCATATTAGTTCTCAATGTCAAGCCAATAGAACAACCATGTTATAAATGGTCACTTATAATGCCCCTCCACCATTTTATGGTTAGCATCAATTGGCAGTAAAAGCCTATTCTACATATCAGCTATTTGCAAGAAATAAATAGTTCCTCTGAACAAGCCATTCATATCTCAATACTCGATACAATTGTCTCTTTTCCGCCATCTTTTGCATGCAAGCTAAAGCATCTTTCATGTATACCAAAGTTTCCAAAAATTTTAATTAAATTTGCAGCAGCATATTAGACAATTACCAAGGATGATTGTTATCTTTTGGGTAAAGACAATCAGGTCTCCTCCCCACACCTTTTGAATGTGGGACTAATTCCAGCGTGGGTGTTGCCATGGTCAAGGTCACAATGTGCTTTCAGTGGGTTTCAAATCCATAAACTACAATTAAAGTCACCCCGTATACAGTTCAATTTCTCAGTTCAATCACACCTTTTCTTCGATAGCCAAAGATTCTAAATGACTAAATGACACGCACAAATCCAAATGTAGTATTTACCTTAACAGCTCTTCAGCTTGAGTCCCTTTCTTGAGAGTACTATTCCTGCAAGAAAAACAAATGAAATATTGCCTCTTTTACAGTCTGTTGGATAGCTGATATTGCAATGAAATGGAGGTAGGTACGAAAGAAATAGCGATGATTTTATAAATCACGGTCATTTGGTAGGAGTGGGAGAGGAAGGAAAGAATGTAAAAATCAGTAGGTCTGGTCCCACATGTTTTTTCTCTTCACTAAAGTGCGAAGAAACACCAAAGAAATAAGTTTTTCTGTTCCTAAGGTCTGAAAATACCCTGGTTTAATTGATTGCAAGCTTTTATTAACCGATTGTGAATATTTAATCTAGACTTTTGTTCAATCGATTATCGTTGCTTTAATAATTGATTATCGCCCTTGATTGAAATTCCTAAATAATCAATTGTACTTTGAAGATAACGGATTGAAAAAGGTGTCGACACACACTACCGGTGAGTTATCCCTTAAGAGCAAAAATGAAATTTACTTAATCTTATAATTTTTTCTTTTCTTTCTATTTAAACCAAACAGAACCACAATATTATTTCTCTTTTCTCTCACTTTCTTAAACCAAACAATCCAAAATTTCACTCTATTTCTTTCTATCCTACCTAACAGATGCTTAGTTATGCCAATATAGTTGGTCGTCAATGATATCATCCCAAATCCCAATTAGTTTGAACTTTGAATAGTTGCGAAGCATATACATTACACCTCTTTGACTCTTCACATGAACCATTTTATCCTTGTTATATCTCCCCCCTCTTTTCTTGGTCTTATTTATCCCTTTTCCCACTCTCTGCTTTTGCCAAAACAAACAATGTTCTGGTGAATTTAAAGCAATTTCTACATCAAACATATAATGGAAGTTTCATAACATAAACCATGGACAAATGCCTAGGAAAACAAACCTGCAGACAAACACTTGAAAAATATGAAGGTATTTGGTCGAAAGATTATAAATGGCATCAGAAATATGCTCCTTGTCAAACAGATACACCACCGGATAGCCTAGAAGCCATCTGAAGCAAATAAATACACAAAAATGAGATACTCCCATCGCATATTACACGTTTAATAAATAATAGGATGAAAAAAGCTATGCTATTCTATGAATCACTATTCAGGCAGCACAAATTGATATTGATCTCTCAAATAGACTCAATTCGGAAACAAGACAAAAGCCTTTGCACAAACTAGTTTTAGTGAGTGCATTATCATGACAAACTAATCTCCAGATGTCCACAACATATGACAATATTAACTCACTACTTTTCATTGACATTCTGGTTATATATAACAGTGTAGCCAGCTATTTTACTTGAACCATCCCACTCATTAAAAGAGCCAAGAATCTGGCACAATGAACTACCCACCAGCAGATAAAAGTTTAAGCTGTAACATACTACTACATGCAATCTGTGTAACATCCCATGCTAATTCCACAAGCTCTGCGACCTACATGGGACCATTACCGAAAATAATGGTAGAGACATGTCAGCATCCTTTTTTTACAATCAGGATGTCTTGAATCTATGCTGGGTTGCTGCTATATGAAAGCATGGGAAGTCTACGCTATATGGACGGAAAATAGATTCAAATAAGAATAAACAGTCATTTTGGTCCCAGAAAGTGAAAAGAACTATCATGTTATTCTCTAAAACTAAAAAACTTACCAAATAAATCCCAATGTTGTTACTTATTTTCATTTCGATTTCTAAATATATATTATTATCAATTTAGTAACATTTTTTTTTTTTGAATTTTTGACTAATGAGATTTTCAATTTGCAATTTCAGCTCATATGAAAGCGTTTTCTAAATTGTTTTAAATTCAAGGAACAAAATGTAGGTTTACTCTTCCAATAAATTACAAGTGAAAATGTAAAGACATTGGTTCCGAAAGCATATTAACATTACCCATTCAAGGTCGGCACCGTGACGTCAGTGTTGTCCATGCAGTTACTGAGATCAATGCACTCATCAGAGGCAAAGCTCCGACACGTGGCGTCAGCATCATCATCCGTACATTCCGCTTCCCGCGACGGTGAGGGATCGGCGATTCCCTCGGGAGACAATATCGTCAGAAACAACCTCTGAATCGACACTAACTGCACCGCTAATCGGCTTTCCTCGATTTGCGTTATCATCTAAACAGAACAGACGCATAAACGATTGACGAAATTGAAAGCACAAAAAAATACCGGAGAAAAAAGCGTCGGAAAGACCTTAGGCGATTCGTGTTGCAGGTCCACAAAGAGCAACGGTTGCTGAGAGTTCAAGCTAGATCTCACATGCTGCGCTAGTTCCGTCACGTGTATTAGGTATATCATGTCTTGTATAACCATAACGCGTATGTGCTCGAAAATTAGGGATTCCTGAAAGAAGAAAAGTGTGAATGGCGGATGAGAGAAATAAGAGAGGGTGAAATCGGAAGA